AATCGATGGAAAAAACTCGGTCCGTAATTTACAGTGCGGACAGAAAACTCGGCTAGTAAGAGGTATATACTTTACGCTCCTGGAAAAAAGAACGACGGCGTTGACAACGATACCTTATCATAGCGACAAATTTGGCCGGTGCCTTAGCCCTTGGTTATATCGAGGCTCGTGAGTTTCTTAATCCTTTAAGCCCCAAGGTCCACATACAAATTCTTCAGGCTGATCTCCGTACATTTCTTTAGAAATAGTCGAGAGAATTTGGTTTAAGATCAAAGCGTTCTCCCTTTGGTAATCAATTTATTAATTCTCATAACCTTTACTCTTGATGATCTGCTGGTGTTGTTAGGAGAATATTGATGTTGGTCACACTCCCCCCCCCCCCCCCCCCCACAGCGGCCCCCCCGCGGTCAAACTTTTTTTTTCTTTTGTGGGGCATATCCCGGGGGGGGGGGGCTTTGTGGGTTAAAAACCCCCCGGGGGGGGGGGGAAAAAAAGGGCAAAAACCCCCCCCCCCCCCACCACCCCACAATTTTTTTTTTTAACCCCAACGCGAAAACTCTTGAGCTGTAAAATCCCCCGGGGTGGGGACGAAAAAAGAGGGCAAATGCCCCGTCCTCCGTCAACACTGCAACATTTTTCATTGATCGCACAGTCGAATAGTGCCTTTTTAAGCATTTTCATGTGCGATTTTCAATGTGCGATTTCAATTAACGTCTTCCCTTGTAATAGCGCTAGGATTCTAATTAAGACTTCACGCCGCGACGACATGCACCAATTTATGGTTTTAGTATAAAATTATTGACATTAAAATTGATAGAGCGCTGTAAAGTGATATGTTATGAATAGTTTTATAAATATGAAAGGATGTTCTTCAAATAATATAAACAGAAATTTGATTCAATACCCCCAAAACATTGATTCACATCGATAGCTCCAATTTCGCTATGTAATTCTGGCTTGATAAGAAATGAAGAAATGCATGCATAAAATCGATAACAGGCCTTTACAACCCTCTTCAATTTATTCCTGTCCTTGACAGATGAGCCAATCAGCCTTTTTTCCAGTAAAACCTTCTGTGTAGTTATATTCTGATAGGAAACCGCGTGCGTGTCAAAAGCTCGGGAATTGCCCCTGGGTTGGCAAATGCCCAGCCTCCGGGCAGTGCGAAAAGTTGCAAATACCCCCGGGACTGACAAGGCGGGTAAATGCCCCGCAGTAGCCGGGGGAGGGGGGGCTGCGCCCAGGTGGAATTGACTGATGCATAATTGCGGTGGACGACCCTGATGGGATAATTTGATGCAACAAAAATCGATGAATTGGAAAACGGTGCAGATTTCAGTCATGAAAAATGGTAGTTTTTCAAATCCGCCTCTAGGTTTCGAAACAAGGAACCAGCCTTACAAGTATTGAAACTCGGTCAGGAATGCCGAAACAGCATAGCAAACTCCGAAAACAAGATTTTAGTAAACTAAAGAATCTCAGTAAAAACTATACATTCACTTTTAGGAGAAAGTACCTCGCGATTTGCGAATTAACTGCATGGCTTGCAGGATTTTCCACAAAAACTAGCACTGTTATTTTATGATTAGCTATGATTTGTAAAATTGGTCTTCGTGAACCACAGATCAGTATAGCAATGGAACGCCGATAGCTTTAACTATCATTTTACCATACTGCAACTGGTTTCAGCAGGTCAGATTGATTCCGGCTGTGAACTTCTGTTTTGCAAAAATTATACACTGCAGAAGTGAACTACATTTTACTTACGTTTGGCCGACGAAAAGGAGCAAAAAAATGGAAGGAAAAACAGCAGTCTTGTTAAACTCATTTTCACTGCCGGACCGTGTCTCCATTTAATTTTGTTTCTATTCTTTGAGAAGCGGAATTTATATACCCTAACAGGAAACGTGTGAAGTTCTATACGTGCTGCATTTTTCTTAATGGTATAATGTTAAAAAGGATTAGGTTGGTATAGATTGGAACCAATGATATCACTTACGTCAATTGGATTTGGAAAGCACGTACCCCCCCGGGGGGGGGGGTACTTGGGGTTATGTTTGCTGGCCTCTCAGAGCCCCTACCCCATTATAGTCTATTTTTTGGCCAATTATAGACCCCATCTTGGTCACTTTTTGGAAAATGTAATTTTCGCGATCCCAACTTGGTCACTTTCTATTTATGCATCTACCTTATCAATGTGGTTTCAGGTGAAGGAATGTAATGCAGTCAATGCGAGCTTATTGTTAAATTTAATAACCAACAACTTTCTGATTTTTTAACCGAGAATCTTCCCATTTTGAATCCCTACTTACTCCAAAAATCCGAAAATTTGCGACTCCTTTCTAGTTGTATAAATCTATTGAAAGTGCGACCCCATTATAGTTACTCCAGTCGTGAAAATGCTACCCCATACAGCGGCATATCCCTATTAGCCTCTTGTATTAAAGGGAGTAGCGCCCCCCCACGGCACGTACCAAGCGTCGTGCGGGTTGCAGTTTCACAAACCGACTGATAGAAAATCTCTTCCATAAACGCTCAACCGTTTAATTTGACCTTGCAGAAGAAGGACCCAGTAAAAAGTGTGGTATGATCAGCTGGAGAAACTTGAAAAAGTAGAAAAAATAAATGGATTACCTCCAATGAAATGCTATATTGTTTTACAAGAACGAAAAGTCCGAAGACTACAGCAAAGCTGATTTAAAACAATGTGTATTGTTTTTTTTATAACAATACTTCGGCTGGCCATACCAGCCTTCTTCAGGTTTACAGATGTTACTGAACTTATGTAGCAATCACAATATTATGAAGATGGAGAATGTCGCAATAAAAGGGAGAGGCGGAAATGACGTACAACATAAAAACTGGAAAGGAAAAATACTAAGGAGATATATTACAATTATGACGAATTATCCAACGTTTACAACTAGCAGGATCTTCGTCCACGGTTTTTGCAGTTAATTTAATCTTTTATATTGTTTTACGCTTCTCAAACTTTTGATTATCAAGTCGGATTTCAGGTTTTAATAAGTGGTAACTATCCTTTGGAGGCCTCGTCGGGGTCTCGTCCTGACGTGATGTTTGAGTAATCACAATTTCACCAGTTTCTACTGCTTACCATGCGAGTCGGATATAAAAAACGCAAGGACCTTGAATCCTCTTTCAGTTTTGTCGTAAAACTTTGCACAGAATAAATGCCATTTATAGGGTCACCCTTCCTCCTTGTTTAAACAGGCCCCAAGTCAGCATTTGACTCAGCAAGATTAGACACCTTGAAGTGATGATGCAAATGCCTCATATCTCCATACTCCAAACTGACATTTCCTTCTCACATGACATTTCCCCTTTCCAACATGATATTTCTCTGTCTCTTGAAATTTCTGCTCGTCAAATGTTCATGAAAGTCTATTTCTTTTCAATTTTTAAGGAAAGAAAATTTCAGGTCAGCACGAGTAGGATTCGATCCCGGAGCATTGGACCTGCAGCCCACCACCTCAGTAAACATTAGTTTTTATATCAGTTAAGACAAATGTGATCGTAAAGATTTCTTTCGTACAAGGAGGCACTTTGAAATTGAATTTAAGAAATCCATGTCTGTTTAACAAGAATATGTTTAGGTTGACTCTGTATTAACTATTAAGCTCGGAAGAACCTGCAATAGCTAGTGAAAGTTTGCAGCTAACCGTGACCATAATGCCATGGAAAAGGTTAGCCGGAAGTCACGAATATGGGTAAACTTACAAATTTTATTCTCATGTTATCGAAATCAACTTCATGTAGTATGAGGACGACAAAGCGAAAGGGTTAGCCGGAAGTCACGAACAGGTGTAAACTTACAAATTCTTTAGTATGTGGACGACAACGCGCAAACATGTAAATGTCATCTTCACTTTCTCACTGGCTTTTTATATTCAGGTATGAGTGATAGTAGACACCCAAAAACCTACCAAACAAGCTTGCAACTAAATAGGCCTAAATAGCGATAAATGATAAAGACTGGTAATGTTACCTGGTGGAAGTCCTGCTGTTGTTGGAGATATAGTCGTTGGTGGAGAAAGAGTCGTTGTTGGAGGGAGAGTCGTTGTAGGCGATGTCGTTGTTGGATTCGGCGTCACTGAAAGTATTGGAAAAGAATCAAAAACGCGATAAACAAGCAATGAAACTACTGCTCTAATATAATTGCTGAGTCATCTAGTTGCCCTTTCAGTCTTCGACTCGACGTTGAAAGTAAAAAAAAAAAGGGTGACGAAAAAAAGTTCTAAACGGCGTATTGCAAAACGTTGATGAGCGATTAGGGATACCTTTTAGGCCGAATTTATCAGTAAACAACAGAAACTTTGACTGATTAGATATTTCTTCTCCCCCTGGTATTGTAATAACAGACAGTAAAATTTTCCGCTTACTTATTTATGTAAAACAACTTAAGGATGGCAGAAAGGTGACTTTTTCAGTAACGTTAGTTTATTCTGAATTTTTCCGGCTTGCGCTCGATCATGAGAATAGTTTGCTAGTTTAAGGCGTTGAATTTCTATTTTGTCAGTCGGGTAAGGCTGCATAAGTGGTTAAGCATTTCGTAAAGTTGAAATTGAATAAGTGTATCTATGTCAGTTTAAGAGTGCAATATGGCCGCCGTTTCATTGTTTTGGAACAACAAAATGGCTGCCGTGACGTCTTGTGAAAACGCTCTATATTTTTTATATATTCTCTACATAGACTATTATTGTTAGACTTTGTTACCACACTGTGTGCAATATTATCATTATTCTAATTATTACTATTATTATTATTATTATTATTATTATTATTATTATTATTTTTATTATTATTATTACTTTTATTATTATTAAAGCACAGGGGTTTTCGTCACAAAATCTTTGATCAATTTTCTTTGAATAAAATTACTTAGAGAAAAGGCATGCAGTGTCCTTTCTAGTGTATAATGAGTCAGCCTAGTCAGTAAGAAAGGCGGAGTATCCCTTGTTAAAGCTCTTTTCGAAAGAGAACTAACCAATACCTGGCGGGCAACCTAAGAGTTCCATTCTCATGGAAATATGCTCGTGCCACTTTCTAGGATGTATCCGGATGTAGCGTGCTTGAATGGGTGGGACAAAAACGTGCAACACTTCTGTGTCATGGTCACTGTTTCCCTTTAAGACCTGCAGTTTTGAAAAGAGGATAACAGTTATATTTTATAAGAGATAACCTTAATATAGTCACTCAATCCTTTTCATCATAAAACAGTACAAAATTTATCGGCTGAACTTACGATTAAGCCGCGTTTAATATTGACTTTTACAAAGACTTAAATGAAATACCATCGACTTCTTTGGCAATCTCCCTGTAAGTAACCATCTAGCGTCATGTTACTCCTTTTCCCAAACACCATTATTTTTTCTCTCAAAACCTTGTACATTGGCCCCCGGCTCAGGAAAGCACCGTTGGAATCCCACGGCGGCAACGTTTGGAAATAAAAGCCGAATACTATTTACTTAATTCTTCAGAAAGAGACCATTTCAGACATGATGATCTTGCTTGATGCAGATGGTGTAGAGTTACGCCATTTCCCAAGGTTCAAAAACCCTCACTTTCAAAACGAGGTTAATTGCAAACCCTTTCGTGTTTCGTTTGCACGATAATAGAAAGTTATTTTCATATAAATGGCTTCACACTTAATCTCGCTTTGAACGGAGGTTTGGGGAACACTCGGAAATGGCCTATTCGATTTTTATTTGTTAAAGTATAAAATGATCTAGTGAAAACTGTTCTCTCTTAACTGTGACTGCCCATATAATATATGTAATGTTTAAAACAAGAACAGCAGTGTTTGAAACAAAACGTGCTGAGAGTGTTTAAAACGTTAATCACCGTTTAGTCAGGTTGATATGATATATGAACGGTTGACACTAATGTACCAATACCTTCCTTAATATCAACTGTACTGTACATATTGTGGAATTATATTATATCTTATTACATTTTTTGACGCATCGTGGGGCAGGGGTGCCCTTTTCGCGGTATTTCGTGGTTACCTCTATTACAGACATCTCTAGGGCAAAAGTCAATTTCTGTTCTCTACATACCACGTTTTGCTTGTAGGCTGTGAAGGCGATGCCGTCGTTACTGTAGGAGATAGTATAGCTCTTCACCCACTGACAGGTGTCGCGTTCTTGTCCCTGGGTCTTAATTCCTGTCACCTGTGTTTTTTCTCCAAGGTCCACTTGTAGCCACTGATTGTAGTTATCATATTTTGCAGACCATGCACCAGCGTTGCCTCCTTCAGCCTCGAGGTTCAGTCTCCCATAGTAAGAACGTGTTCTGTTGTTGTACTCGGACGACGCTGTTATCTGTGCATCGGGTATGTTTTTGTTCTCCATCCCGAGAGGGTTTGAACAAACTGTGCATATGTGATAAAATTTATTTAGAGACTGCCTGTATTTCTGCTACACATCACCGGAGGTCATTCACATGCAGACTTTGCATGCTTGGTTCTCTCGCTTGTCATGCATTTGACCTTTTGTAACCCTGCGAAACTGACCGGCGTGGCAGGCGTCCAAAGGGGAGGGAAGAGAGGGAAAGAAGAGGAGATTTGAGAGAGAAAGAAAGGAAAGGCTCCCTCTACTTTTTCCCATTTGCTTTTCTCCCTTTATCCCTTCCCTTTTTTGTGGCGTCCGCATTCTGTGCATTTCATTTTGCCTTTCCTTTTTACATGGTTTATACCAGAACCAACAACGAGAGGGGTCGACGTAACATGCAAGAACAATATCTTTTAGAATGTCCGTTGTTCCATAGAATCATCCACGGCAAGCTTATTTTAGAAGACAACTGTTCTCAATCGAGAGTTGAACCTAATATCGCTGTTGCTGTGCAATTTCTTCTTTGCTGCGCCAGTATCGATGAACAAGAAAGAAAAAGAAAAAAAACGCCTTCTTTACTGATTCGATGATCAAACCTTTCAACCCCAGTCGTAACTTGTTCACCTACCCTTTTCCATCCTCCCCTACTTACTTTCAACCCTCGCGAGGTAGGTTATGACTTGCTTTTAGGATATGGCTGCGCTTGCCTTATAGGTAGCCTTTAGCTTAACTGTTTCAATGCTCCACTGGAGATTTCAATGCAAAACAATTTATATCCTTAGTTAACTATTAGTTGTAAAGACAATAATTATTACCTATTGGACAACCCAAGAGCTCAATCCGCATGGAAATATGGACATTCCACGTTTGAGGATGTACACGAATATACCTTGCCTTGATGGATGGTGAAAACAGGCCTAAAACCAGGGAGTTTTGATCTCTGTTTGCCCGAAAGACCTGCAGAAATGGAATAAAACTGGACTGTTTTAACGTAAAAAGCACGTTGGTTATCATCCTTTTCAATATTGTTATCGACTGCATTATCAGCAAATGAGCTACACTTTCTGTTGACTTTTGAACCGATTGCTTTTCAAAGCAGACTCCGTGATAACAAAAAGACTTTGGTTTTCCACTCTTAAAGAGAAAACGGAAGAGTGTGGGTAGTTGTAGTTGCTTTGTTTGAGGAGGTGTAAAGGCAGGTGGGTGGTGTGTTGGGGGGGGGTGGGGGGGGGGGGGGGGGGGGGGGGGGGGGGGGGGGGGGGGGGGGGCTGAGAGGGAGTCACTGTTATATGGCTTCCGTGATTGCATGTTGGTTGTTTTAGGTCTGAAAGGTTAATATTGGTACAGTTTGAAGCTTTTTGAATTTGCTTAAACCATACAAATACCTATTTCGTTCGCTGGTTTTACGGCACTTTTTACTGTGTTCTCTACATACCCTGTTTTGGGCATACGCTGTGAAGGTAATCCCGTCATTACTGTAGGAAACAGTATAGCTTTTGACCCACTGATAACGGTCTTGTCTTCCTTGACTTTGTATTGCCTGCACTTCCATTTCTTGCCCAAGATCCACTTGTAGCCACTGATGAACGTCATTTGTTTTGGCAGACCATGCGCCAGTCTTACCTCCTCCAGCCTTGAAATTGAGTCTGCCATTGGATGGGCCGTGTGCGGCGTCGTACTCACTGGAAGCTGTGATCTGGGCATCGGGTAAGTCTCTATTCTCCATCCCCAGAGGGTAGGAACATCCTGTGTAGAAACCAAATTACTGATTTATGGGGACATGCATGGATAAATATAACTGAACCAAAGTTGATCAAATTGCTCAAGCGCCTTATTCAATGCGTTAATTGGAATTCTTGAAGTGACAAGAGATGATCGGCAATTATCTTGAAGCAGTCGTATATGTGACTAATGCTTTTTCACTTTTGTTTACGCTACGTGTTCAGCGGGCACTATTCCCGAGTACGGTACGCGCTGGGCACTAATGTGTACACACCCTGTCTAAGTACGCAGGGCAAGGTTACCTTATATGCACATGTGTTGTGTTAGTTCTGAGGCAGTGCACTGCTTTGCATACTCATAACCTCCTGCTATGCCCACATTTTATGATGATGTCTGACTTGCCGAAATGGAGCAAAAACGTTCACAGTTACATATCGGGTGCACAAAGTGTTAAGACGGAATCCACCAGGACATTGAGTAGTTTTAATTTTCAGTGGACAAAAACCTTGTACCAGAATAATTTAAAGCATATTACATTCTTTCTCACATTTTTCAAGGGCTAAAGATGTAATAAATCATCTGTAGTACCACCAAAAAAATGTCTTACGGGAGCCCGAGAAAATGAATGTCAAATTTCACAAAATTACATCTTACACATGAAATTTTCAGAATTTTACCTGTGTAATCACAATTCTTGTGACGTTTGAAATTCTCGGACTTCCATGTGAAATTTTCTTTGGTGTTACTACAGATGATCAAGAGAGACTCTTGAGATGATTTATTACATCTTTAGCCCTTGAAAAATGTAAAAAAGAATGCAATATTCTTTAAATTATTCTGGTACGAGGTTTTTGTGCACTGAAAATTAAAATTACTCAATTTCCTGGGGGATTCCGTCTTAACACAACACCATCATGTACCCAGCAATAGTGCTTAGGCTCCAAGTGTTAACTTAGTCTAAATAAAGATATTTACCTGACAGAAAGCCAGGAATAAGGTCCCGATCCTTATCTAAAAACCGCATAAAAATGGGAGGTATACGTGCCACCCTACATGACACGCACCATCTGCACCAACCTCACGGCCTGTATAAATCCTGTCTACTAAACAGGCATCTCAGATAAAAGACTCCTCAAAAACTAGATATGTAGGCACTAGTAACTGTTCTAGTAAACGTCCTCCGTAGCAATCGTCACTTACGCCGTTCGTCACAGTTCTGTGAACGTGGTTCCTTTTTCGTTCCTTGTAAGCAGTGTTTGCATTGTAAGAGCCCTTATAAGTCGTTGTACTCCTTTAAATGCCCGTTCGTTAGAGCCCTTACAAACGCATTTTGTCAGTATCCTTATATACGCCTTCAGAAACTGTCCTTTCAAACGCCGTTCCTACATTTGCGGGAAAAACGCCAGTTCGTAAAGTCTGGTATATGCCCGGAATTCACACCACAGAAGGGAAAAGGACGGAAAATATAGAAAAAGAGAGCTAGAAAAATAAATTCGCTTCCTTAGTTTTTATGATAGTTTCTTTGGAAATCGTTTTTGAACAGTACTTCTTGCACGTTGCCAAATTCCCCTGACTATGAATGTGTAGAACGACAAGAAGTCTTGTGTCATGTTATCTTACCAAACTAAAGAGTAACAGGTAGGCTTCCATTTTTTATAACAAATTATATATTCAAAAATGTAAGCTGAACCGTTTTTCTCCCGTGGTAGTTGGTCACAGCCTCTGGTAGCCTGTGTTGCATGCACGGGGAAAAAAAACTCTACGGCGCACCTTCCTCGCCCACGTGCACTATTTCCTCTTGGTCAGCGTAATCATTTTTTGTGAATGATAAGCAAACATGTTTCAAATGATTCACCTTGCGGTTGAAGGTACAACTCGATACCCCCGATTCAGACTGCTTCAAATAATGATAAATGATAACTAACAGCCAAATCGAACTCAATAATTTAGTAAGAAGGTAATACGTGGTTATTTACTGTGGGGTCTGGTAAAAGCATCAAAGTCCAAACCTTTGAGCCACCGCACTCCCACTCGAAAGATTGTTCCAAAGCCTGCGCTGGAGTCGCCGCTCAGGCGAAAACGATGAGGCATTTTAATGGAAATACAAACTTTGGAAACTGCTACTAGTATGATTACTATTATTGATCAGAAGTCAACACTGTTGAGATGAAAATTTATATCTTTCTGTTGTGCAACCCTGGACTTAACGGTGACAGCGCCATTGAACGCAAGAACTATTCTCGTCAATTGAAACTACAAAAACGCTCCCGCTTCGGTGGAGCGGGACGCAACTTTTTCCCGATTGTGGCGAATTTTGAAAATTGGAGGCCCATCCCTCGCCAGCTTACGCGAGGCTCTCAGATAGTATGGAAGTAGCGAAAATAACACAAGCCAAGCGAAAATAACACGCACGACTGCAGTTCTATCTTGAAGCCTGAAACAGGCTAAGTGTTGGCCTAAAGTCGTCGGCCTTCCTGATTCAGACTCCTTAAAATAATGATCAATGATAACTAACAGCCAAGTCGAACTCAATAATTTAGTAATGAGGTAACATGTGGTTACTAAGAGTGGGGTCTGGTAAAAGCGTCAAAGGCCAAACCTTTGAGCCACCGCACTCCCAATCGAAAGATTGTTCCAAAGCCTGCGCTGGATTCGCCGCTCAGGCGAAAACGATGAGGCCTTTTATTGGAAATACAAGCTTTGGAAATTGCTGCTAGTATGATTACTAGTATTGATCGGACATCAACAGTGTTGAGATGAAAATTTATATCTTTCTGTTGTGCAACGCTGGACTTGATCGTGATGACAGCGCCATTGAACGCAAGAGCTATTCTCGTCAATTGAAACTACAAAAACGCTCCCGCTTCGGTGAAGCGGGACGCAACTTTTTCCCGATTGTGGCTAATTTTGATTTGAAAAAAGGTCATTAAAATTTTTGCTATTGTAAGCCCAAGAACAACTTGGCGAATAGGATACACAACAACAAACAAAATTCCGTTTTAGATAATGATGGCTTTTATACTATATTGTTCGTGTGATAAAGGGAAAAAGCGTATTACACGTCTGTCAAAAGTTTAAAATTTCATGAGAAACTTTATATAGAAGCATTCTTCCTTTAATTTGCCCGTATCTACGTCAAAAAGTGTATACAATAGAGCTTACCACGACTTTGGTGAACGTAAATGCATTGCCCTACTGCGTTTAAATGCAATGAATACCATCTACCTTCGGACGAAAGCTTTTACGGCTGCCACTATAACGTACTTAATTTTTTTTTTTACCCACCTTTAATTAACTGTACAAATCCAACCCCTTTTACAGCTATTTCAAGAATATACGCTGATTTTTCAAATTTTCTTCAATGATCGCCGAACATTAAAACAGATGACTTGCAATCAGTTTTCCACAAGCCGCTAGTTCAGGCATTTGTTTTTATTGCATTTTTGCAACGATGCGTTGCAGAAACACTCTCAAAAACAAGTCTGGGCAATTCGATTCTAGCCTTAAACTTGCGGCATCTGAAAGTTATCTCTCCAAATTTAACACAATTGTTAGTTTTTGTTGCGTCCTCAGCTCTGTATTAATAAAAAAATTATAGTCACAACTGAAAGTTTTTTCATAAACTAATCGCGCCATTGTTCAAAAGGTTGAAAGTCACTAAGTGGATTTAACTCACAAAACGTCGATTACCATTTGCCCGCGAGTACAACTTCAGTCCAGTCAACCTTTTTATCTATCTAGCAACAAGTGACTAAAGCCCTTGGAGTGCCGCTGAGCCTTTTTGTGGGTCCATCAGTAGGTTAAAGTATTCTTGGTTTGCGCCGTCCGGCCTTTAAGGGCTTTTGAGTAGCTGGGTTGCCATCTCGACTATATCGCTTATTTAGGCTGTATCTTATAACTTTGACAAAATAGTTGATTTGAATTTAACTTACGTTTGGCGTATAAGGATGAGCACAGCAATGCTAGATAAATAAGTAAACTTGCAAATGTCATTTTTCCTTCAGTCCGTAGCCCCCCTCAGTCCCTGCTTGTTTTATCCAACATCTACTTGAGAAGTCGAACTTATAATGTGAACTGCAATTACACATTTAAAACACAATTATACAAGCAAATTAAATCCTAAATAATGCATAAATGCAATATCACAGGCCATAAAAAAAAACAATAGCGTCAACTTTTTCCTGTTTCTCAGCTTTCCTTAAACCATTGTGAACGCGTGATTACTTACGTCACAAGAGAATAAAAGGCACAGAAAAAAGCAACAATTGTAGTTACTCATAGTCCTTGCATTCGTCTAAAATCACCCTTATAAACTTCCCTCCCATTTTTTTTAAAGGAAAAGTCGTGAGAAAACTATTGTGCAACAACCTTTTTAAAACAAAAATTGGCTACATACAATGGTAACCCCAGTTAGCACACAACACAAGTAAAACCTTATCAAGGTTTTCTTTTTATGCTAACGTAGGCCGCAAATTCAGGACGCAACGATACTTAGTACTGCGGGATTTTTTACTTTTCTTTTTCTCTGTTTTCTTTTTCTTATGTGTGAGTGTGTGTGTGTTTTTGTTTCCAGTATACGCAAATCCCACGCAGTTCTCTTGATCAATTGAGATTCCAGTTCAAGACATTTGAATCTGGACCTTTTCTACCCCAAAGACTGCATTTTTGTTTTACTTGATTTCGCTAGAAGACGTTTTCATACTTTTAACAAGTTCTCCATGTTTCTAGTTTTAAATAGAGGGCAGAACTTGGATCGATCTTCTCGCTCAGTTTGCTTTACTTGCTTAGTAGGTAACCATTTCCTCTGACGGTGTTAAAGGGACTTTAGCACAAATAGAAAACTCCAAAGAGGAAATAATCAATCATTGTTTTAAAATCAGGAGGAACCAATATACATATCAGTAAGAAATGGTGAAAAAGGCAAACTTTAAATTCCAAAAACTCAGAGCGAACGGAACTAGCAACCGTGCTAAATGTATTCATTATGCTTTTTTAAAAACTACA